CCGAATTCCCTTTTTAACTTCTACTTTCAATTCACCAAACAGTCTAGCAACGTCAATCTAGTTCACAAGTTAACACATATATCTTAGAATTAAAATTCACAATTTTTACCCGAACCTATTTAGGTTATCAATCCTTCTTTTGCAAACCTTTACTTCTACCCAATTTCCCCTTACTAGATTTTAGGTTTTAAAAGACATGAATGTATGTTGTCAACCTTTATTTTCAAGAATCAATGCATGAGAATCCCCCTTTATGTTTAAACCTGGAAACCAATGAAAAAGGGTTGGGGATTTTACCTGCAAGAATGGAGATGAAGACAATTACTTGAAATTTCCCGGCCCGAGTAGCTTTGATGAATCAAATCGATGAATGCAAGACTTCCTCTCTCAAGAACTCTCCCTTCCTCTCTCTAGTTTGTTCAGAAAATACGTTAAAATGAGGGGTTGGGGTGTTTTATTGAAGAAGGGGTTGGGTTTAAAATTTAGAATAATTGGAGCCCCGAGTAAGGTATGCGATCGCATTTGCGATCGCAAAGATGAAATGCGTGTTTTATTGAAGAAGGGGTCGGGTTTAAAATTTAGAATAATTGGAGCCCCGAGTCAGGTATGCGATCGCATTTGCGATCGCAAAGATAAAATGCGGTCCGCAGAATGAACCGCAAAAGTGCTCCAAAAATCTGATCCTACTGTCTGGGTTTGCGGCAGAAATGCGGTCCGCATACACGATCTGCGGTCGCATAATGCACCGCATAATTGCCCTTTACAAAATTCCATGATGATGCGGTCCGTATATTAGTTATGCGATCGCATAATCGACCGCATTTTGACCTCAAATTTGACTAACACACTGACTCACTTTGCGATAGAAATGCGGTCCGCATACTTGATTCTGGACCGCATAACAGCACTTTTCTGGAAAACTTGATTCTTTGATTTTTAAATGCTTAGATCAGTACAAGCTACTAGGTTTTGGGCACAAATTTTCACGGGGCCTTACAAGGCCTCAACCGCCAGCCCGAGCGGGATACAAAAGGGGCCAGCCTAGTAATGGTGGCCCTAGCAAAAGTGGGGGAGATCGGAGTGCAACCAAATCTAAGACTCCCTCCTCAGGCAGCAATAGTGCTGCGTCAAACAACCATGATCGAGGGAGAAAGCCTTCTTCAGGATGTCGTCATTGCGGCGGACCACATTGGAATAATAAATGTCCACATGCACAGATGAACGCTATCAAGATTTTGATGATGGGACCGATGACGACTCAAACGATGCGGACCAGACCGAACCAGTAGGTGCCTTTAATGCAATTGTTGGCTCTATTTCTGAAGCATTAACGGAGACCAGTGCTGGTATCCGTAAACAAAGGACCCATGTCCAATCACTAAGAAAGGTAAAAAGAAGGCGGATGAGGGGACTCCTCTTAAACAAGAGAAAACCTTTATGTTCGTCGAGATGAAGGTGAATGGCAAGCCCATTCGGGCGATGATAGACACGGGTGCTACCCACAACTACTTAGCCCCGACTCAGGTGGAGCGCCTTGGTCTAGCTGTAGGAAAGGGTAGAGGTCGTGTCAAAGCTATAAACTCACCTCCTCAGCCAGTGGGTGGAATATCCAAAGAGGTAACAGTGAAGCTTAGGCCTTACGAAGGAAAATTCAACCTGTGAGTGGTGATCATAGATGACGTCGAATTGATAGTTGGGTTGGAATTCCTAAGGCAAACCAACACCATGCCCGTACCATATGCAGACATGCTACTGATGATAGGAACAAATGGGGCCAAGCCCTGCATTATCCCGTGCATGCCCATGAAGATGGCCGTTGAGAACATCTCGGCCTTGCAGTTGAAGAAGGGGGTCAAAAGACATGAACCTACGTTCCTGGCAACCCTCTGCATTGAAGATATAGAACGCTCCTCGGGTCCCATTCCTGCACCCGTGAAGGAGCTACTACGGGAGTTTGAAGATCTCATGCCACAAGACATGCCAAAGCGACTCCCGCCTAGGTGCACTGTGGACCATGAAATTGAGTTGGTGCCGGGTGCGAAGCCACCCGCCTGGGCGCTTAACAGAATGTCACAACTCGAACTCACCGAGCTTCGGAGACAATTGACGGAAATGCTAGACACAGGGATCATTGTACCCTCCAAGTCCCCATATGGGTCCCCTGTTCTATTCCAAAAGAAACATGATGGCAGCCTGCGACTCTGTGTGGATTATCGGGCACTAAACAAAATCACCGTGAAGAACAAGTACCCTATTCCGCTAATGGCAGACTTGTTCGATAGACTGGGTGGTGCGATAGTGTTCACCAAGATAGACCTGAAGACAGGTGATTGGCAAGTTCGGATTACAGAGGGTGATGAGCACAAGATGACCTGTGTGACAAGATATGGGTCGTACAACTTCCTGGTTATGCCGTTTGGCTTAACTAACGCTCCAGCCACATTTTGCACCCTGATGAACCAAGTCTTCCGAGAGTACATTGACGAATTCGTGGTTGTCTATTTGGATGACATTATGGTTGGTATATAGCCAAACACTTGAAGAACACTTGGAGCACTTACGGAAGGTCCTAGCCCGATTGCGGAAGCACGAACTATATGCGAAGCTGTCCAAGTGCTCCTTTGCTCAAAAGCATATTGACTTCCTCGGACATGTCATCGAGGAAGGGCGGATCAAGATGGACCAACAGAAGATCCAGGCAATCACAGATTGGCTACCGCCTAAGGATATCCACGCCTTAAGGGCGTTCCTTGGCCTATGCAACTTCTATCGGTGATTTGTGAAAAGCTACTCCCTTATCGCAGTGCCATTGACAGAACTCCTCAAGAAGGTCACTCCTTGGGATTGAGGACCCAGGCGAGCGGAGGCCTTCAATGCATTAAAAGCGGCTATGTCTAGTAGCCCCGTCTTGGCCCTCCCTGATTTGGTCAAGCCATTGGTGGTGCAAACGGATGCATCTGACTATGCCCTCGGCGGAGTCTTGCTACAAGAAGGGCATCCTTTAGCGTACGAGAGCCGAAAGCTGAAGGAAGCAGAGTGGCACTATGCCGCCCATAAGACAGAATTATTGGTTATTGTCCATTGCTTGCGTCTTTGGAGGCACTATCTGCTGGGGACACCGTACATGGTCAAGACAGACAACACAGCTGTTAGCCATTTCATGACCCAGCCAAAGCTGAATGGTCAACAAGCCAGGTGGCAGGAACTCCTAGCGGAGTTCCACTTCAACTTGGAGTATCGAAGTGGGAAGACTAATCATGTGGCTGATGCGCTCAGTCGGAGAGCTGATCTAGCATCGGTGTGCCTACTCACCACCCTAAGGGGGAGCAAAGTAGCCACCTCCAACAAGGACCAGATACAGGATCTACTCATCAATGATCGCGCTACACAGTATTTAGTTGATTTGGCAGGACAGGGCAAGACTCGCCAGTTCTACATGGAAGATGGTTCTCTGAAAGTGAAAGGGAACCGACTTTATGTTCCTAAAGGAGGAGATCTACGAAGGACTCTTCTGGCGGAATGTCATGATACTCTGTGGGCCAGCCATCCCGGTGAAGAACGCAACATGGCGTTACTTCGCCGTTCATATTATTGGCCTCAAATGGCCGATGACGTCGCTCAGTATGTGAAGACTTGTCTAGTATGCCAGAAGGACAAGTCGGACCGCTTGACACAAGCGGGACTCTTGGAACCACTAGCTGTCCCAAAGAGACCTTGGGAAAGCGTTTCCCTGGATTTCATCACCTGATTGCCTAAGGTCGGAGATCTCACAACTATCTTGGTTGTGATGGATCGGTTTTCCAAGTATGCTACCTTTATAGCATCCCCACAATATATATCAGCAGAAGATACAGCTCGACTCTTCTTCTCTCATGTCGTTAAATATTGGGGCCTACCCAAAGACATTATTAGTGATCGCGACTCATGCTTCACTAGCAACTTTTGGACCCAACTCTTTAAGTGCCTCGGGTCAAAATTGAGTCACAACTCAAGTTTTCATCCGCAATTTGATGGCCAAACGGAGCGGTTCAATGGTATGTTGGAGGAATATCTCCGCCACTTTGTAATCGGATCGCAGAAGAATTGGATGAAGCTTCTGGATGCTGCTCAACTGTGTTTCAATTCACAAAAGAGCTCTAGTACAAACAAAAACACTTTTGAAATTGTTACCGGACAACAATCGCTACTCCCACACACCGTGAATGCACCAAACATGACAAAATCTCCTCGAGCTGCTAGCTTCTCAAAAGAATGGAAGTAAAATTTGGAGATATTGCAGAGCTATCTCGTGCCAAAAAGCGGACGAAGAGGCATGCTGATCAAAATCGTCGCTTTGTTGAATACCAAGTAGGAGACAAAGTGATCGTTAAAATCCCTAAGTGGTACTTATTTGCGGGGGTCCATGACCCTCGCCTATTGCAAAAATACATTGGACCCTTTTTCCATTTAAATGCGCATTGGACCAACTTGTGCATCTCGACTAAGTCCACGGGATTTTAACTTGTGCATCTCGACTAAGTCCACGGGATACTTGCTAAGTCCCACTAGCAACAAGCAACAGGTAATTTTGTCCACCAAGGCTTGAACAGATGGGAAGAAATCACCTAATATTTTTGCGTCCGTTGAGATTTGAACCAAAGACATCATGATTCTCAACTCACTTCATTGACCAGTAGGCCACACATTTTGGTGCTTGTCTTCTATTCTTTTTTATTTTCTTATAAGTGGTTTTCGGCTGGGTACACCTCGACTACATTAGGTACCTTTACAAGTATTGGGTAACTCTGCATACAAAAGTTTAGGCGGATTGAAAGAAATCAATTAACTTCTTTGCCTTTCCTGGAATACGGATACTGGTCTATCACGACTTCCGGTTCTGCTTCGTTGATCACTAGGGCATACCTTTGGTAGTTTTGCTAAAACGAAAATAACTTATTTGAATTACGATATTATATGACTATGATGCAAATGAAGTACTCCATTAATTATGCCAAAGGCACTTTATTTCAGAACATTGCCATGTATCCTCAATGTTGACCTTTACCTTGTAATATTTGAAGTTTATATGTTGAAAACTCTTCTTAAAAAGGGTATCGACAGTTATGATGTAATTCTTATCCGATAAAACATGTTTTCTTCAGATTGGCTGATTTCCTTTCCTTTCAAATCTTTTCCTGCAAATTCCTTTATAAGGGCTCCAAATTTCTGATATAGCATAAATTCTACTTGAAGCAAAGAAAGAGAGTTTCCGTGGTGAGTTAATGAGAAAAGAATTCTAGTCCTTATGACTATCATATTTCCCTTTTATTGTGCTCATTCTTGTAGGCATTGAATGTCTGTAAATATAGAAACATGAGAGAGTTCTCAATAGCGTCTTCGTATTTATTTCAGGGAGCAACAATAGTTGATATGTCTGTTACAGTGACTTTGGATCCAGTTTACCAGCTTTCTCCTGGTGCTGCTACAGCGCCCCCGGTAAAAAGAATCATACTTATTGCAATGTCTTTGAACATGAAAACACACACTTTTCTTATATGATGACGACCCTCTGCAGCCAACAGGAAAGAAAACTGCTGGTGATTCAGAATCCGCTTTTCAGAAAGCAGAAGATGTTGTTAGCAGCATGCTCGCAAAAGGTTATATCTTAGGTACAGATGCTGTGGGCAAAGCAAAGTCTTTTGATGAGAAGCACCAGTTGACTTCAAGTGCAAGTGCTAAAGTGGCCTCCTTAAACCAAAAAATTGGTCTCACTGAGAAGATAAGCGTTGGTACTTCCATTGTTAATGAGAAAGTCCGAGAAATGGATCAGAAACTCCTGGTTTCTGAAAAAGCAAAATCAGCATTTGCTGTAGCAGAGCAAAAAGTTAGTAGCGCTGGATCGGCCATTATGAAAAACCGATATGTTCTCACGGGGGCTACTTGGGTAACATGCGCTTTTAGTAAAGTTGCTAAAACAGCAGGGGAAGTGGGCCAAAAGACAAAAGAGAAAGTGGGAATGACTGAGGATGAGCAGAGACAGAAAATGGTCACTGATTTTGCACAGGTTCATTTATCTGATTCTCCAAAAGCTTCTAATTTCACGGAGCATCAGTCTTCCAAGCCTGCAGCAGTACAAGGTTTAGTCCGTTGAGTTGATGCCCCTGTAAGTATCTTTGAGGACTTCCACTCCTCATACTTCATTTCATTTTCAATTCACTGGTTTATGAAGAAATGACAAGTGTAAAACAATATGTTCAATATGCAATTTTTAGATGATCTCGATTTTGTTTCTGTACTTCGTACTGTAACAAGATTTGATTGATTTGTATATCATTGATATTGTCAAGTAGATAAATTCATTTTTATGCCTTGATGAACATACATGAGCCCCAATCTTTTTGCACTTATAATTGCTTCATTTTGCTTGTTAGTTGCATGAGACATCCTTCTTGACTTCAGTATATTTCTTTAGATTGTAAAGAAGGATATTTCTGGAGAGTGAGTGACCTAACATGAGAAAATTGTGCTTTATATCGTTGAAGGAGGTTGTTGAGGCATCTCCTTTTTACTAGCATTGCAGATTCCTTTTTGGCAGTTTTTAGCATACTTCCTAGTTCCTTGGGTCTGAGATGCATTATATTTATCGTTGTAAAAGGCATCCTTTGCAGGCCAAATTGGAAATGGCGTACTTTCTTATGAGTGTGCGGAGTAGTTCTTTTAGTTACAGTATTGAAGTTTCTCTTGCTTGTTAATATTTTAGTGCTTCAATCACTCTTTGTAGGAGAACTGCCAAAAATCTCAGGTGTATTACTTTATGCTGCAATCTGCACCGCAAGTATCTGAATCATTAGCTTTTGCTAGAAACCTGAGTTTGAAGTCCTGCAGACGTTCTTCTCTTGAGTATCGACAACCTGTTTTTTTGTGCAAGGATGTGCTTTTGGTTTCTTTTTTATGTTTCAAACGACTAAGAAATCTGGTTCCACAAGCTTATAGTAGCTTCCAAGTTTTGTCTATTTCTTGGTTTGCCATGAATTCAGATAGATTTGCTTATAACATTTTTTTTTATACTCTTAGTTCTACACAACATAGGAATTGCATAAACCTCAGTAGAGAAGCTCTGGTTTGGGTTGGCAGTTATTTGACCCTCCTGTTTTTTTTTTTTGTTGACCCTTGATTCCAACTCTTGATAACTAGGGAAGGGTACATATTAAGTCACAAATATTAAGCCTTGCATAATCTTGAATAGGCTTTCTAACTCTTCCTTTTGATTCTTAATTTCTTAGAATTCATGGAAGAATATAATCGTCAGCATACGCAAAGTGAAATGATACTTAGAGCCCGTTTGGCTTAGCTGATTTAGAATAGCTATAAGCATTAGGTGTTAAAAAGCACTTTTAAGTGCTGAAGCTGATTTAAAAAATAAGCAGCTACGTGTTTTGATAAAAGTGCTGAAATTAATAATAAACAGCTGAAGAACTAGGTATACAAAGAGTTTTGTTTTAAAAAGAGGTCTTTTAGGAGTAGAATAGTAAATATTTTGGTCAAACTTAAAGTGCTTATAAGCTAAAATTTGATAAGTTGGGGGAGAACAACTTATGGCTTTTGGCTTATTTTTGGCTATAAGCACTTAACTTATAAGCACTTTTAATTTTACCAAACGCGTAGATAAGCCAAAAAGTGCTTATAAGCCAGTTTGACCAGCTTATAAGCTTAGCCAAAAAATGCTTATAAGCTAGTTTGACCAGCTTATAAGCTTAGCCAAACACCCTGAACTTTAGATGTGTTCCACAAGGACAGCGGAATATTTAACCTATTGGAAGTGATGATGAATAGAAGGTACTCCGAAAGAGCCTTCAATACTTGGTACCCACTAGTGTATGGAGTATAATTTAGTTGAGCTTTTTGTTAACTTTGGTCTTATATCTTTTCTTTAACGAGGAATCATGGGCAGGGTCAGTTCGGAGATTGAAAAATGTTTTCTCCTTTTCTTACACTCGAAACTATTCTGATTAATAGCAAGCTTCTTTTGAACCTAAAAGTGCTTTTTTATTCTAAGTTAAGTTGTTTAGCTAAAAATTTTAGAAAGAAAAAAGTGTTCTCAAGTAGAAACAGAAGCAGTCCTTAAGAAGTAGAAAAAAATATAGTTTTTTTCCCAAAAGTACTTTTAAGAAAAAAAAAATACTTAGAAGCAAATTTTTTACGCTCCATCTTACACCAAAAAAAATTAAAACAATAAAAGGAAAATAGAAAATTTGCAGGTCGAAAGAGACATATCTTAGTGAGTTAAAAGACAAGAATCCTTGTAACTATCGGAAAAAGAAAAGGTTCCTCATTCATAGGATGCTCATCTGATTGACAAAACCTTTTTAGGTGTGACAAGAATGAGTAGGGGCAGAAATTGGTATAGAGAAAGTAGAAGTTGTCCCTACTATACAACTTTCACGAGCTCATTTGCTGAAGTGCACTCGTGATGGTGGACCTAGGGCGTGATCAACCTACCACGATAGAGTATCTAACAATTTCTTTTTTCTTAAAATGATTGATAAGGATGATGAGAGAAGAGGTTGGATAGCGTAGCAGTTGGTGATCAACTGATATTACAGACAAATGTTACATCATTGCTTCAATTATTAGTACTATAGCCAATACTCTTTCAACACTTAATTTCAGTTACTGTATAGATTAATAATCTCCGTCTCTCCGAATACTTTTCCACTCAACTTGAGTTCGTCCAAAAGAGTAAGTATTTGAAATGCATTTCACTTCTAAATGATCTTAATCTATAAAGTAACCAAATTGATTTTTGACAAGTGAAAAGTGCTGAGATTTATTATCTGCTCATGTGATATTATATAAGTAACTTTTTAACTTTTACTCTCTTAATACCATTGAACTAATCAATTTGTATTTTCAATACGATGATCCAACAAATTAATTACGGGAAAAAGTTGTTAGTGAGACAAAATTACGAGTTATTTGAAATTGCGATGACCTTGCATGGTCAATTTTCAGCTCACTCTTTGAGATTGAGTACCCTAAGCTATTACCTAATTGTCTTTTGAATAGTAAAGGAGTTGAATATAGTGACCATAAATTCGTAAAAATTGCATGAGGCGCCCTATTTGGTAGCCTCCCATTTAACCTATACCCATATTTTTAAAATTATTTAACCTATACCCTAATTTTGAGAACTTCAGATCCTGCGACCTATGCGCTCCTTTCTTCCTCCTCTTCTTTTCCTCTTCTTCTTCTTTTCTCTCTCAAACATGTTATCCTGTAAGTTACACATGTTATCATTTCTGGAAATCGGACAAAGCGACAAATCAAGAAGAAAGAAAGACTCGTCACTACCTCTCATACATTAATACATCCCAACACAAAGTGCGTAAATAATAAAATAAGAGTTTATTGTCAAAACTCGAAGAAGCATCAACTGAAGTTTGGGACTACAAACTTCAGACATTACCAGGTTAAATTTTGTCTGAAGTTTGCAACTATCATGCCAGGAAAAATTATTTGAAGTTCAAATATAACAAGTTGATTATGTTTGAAGTTTGCACTACAAACTAAAGAACTTCAGACTAATTTGTCTGGAGTTTGCACTACAAACTGAAGAACTTCAGACTAATATATCTGAAGTTTGCACTACGAACTGAAGTTTTTGATTGCTTTTGCAAGTCAGGCCAAACTTCAGACGAAAATATCTGATGTTTTACTTTGATAAGGTCACACTTCGGGCAAAAAATTCTGAAGTTAAAACTTCAAACATAAATTCTTGCTACTTCAGGCCCCGTATGTCTGAAGTTACCCGAAAAGTGGGTACGCTTTTAATTTTTTTGCAAAGCGGGTATAAGTTCAAAAACTAGGTATAGATGCAAATCCCCCCATAAATTCATCTTAATTATATTACTTAAATACATAGTTTAAACTAGGGGTGGCAATTTGAGCCCAAAATCATCAAACCCGCCCAGAGATTAATGGATTGGGCTACAAACATTTTTGCTAATGAGTCTATTTGGTTGAGCCCAAGTTAACCCATTGTTTTTTATAGCCCATTCTGAACCACGAACTAGCCCAAATACAACCCATGAAGCTCACCCAAAACAAAGGGATCTCAATCAAACTTATCTAGAAATTTACTAAGTTGCCTCAATTTTACTTTTTTTTTTTTTTTTTTGTATTTTGTATTTTCTATTTTTTCGTTTTTCTGCACCACCCACCCACCCAAACATAACCCACCCTCACCCCACCCCCGCAATCCCCCTAAAAAAAATTTTATTTTTAATTTTTTGTTTTTCGGTTTTTCTGTACACCAACCCCTCCAGACCTCTGCCCCAACCCCCCCCCCCTCAAAATTTTCTTTTTTTACTTTTTCTTTTTGTATTTTTAATTTTTTTTATGTTTTTTCGGTTTTTTTGCACCACCCACCCCCCACCTATAAATTATTTTTCAACTTACACATTTTAAATACTAATTTGTTATTTAAGAAAATATATTTGATTCTCAAAATAGTAATAGTATTTATTTGTCTTCTATACATAGATGTATAAAAGGTAAAAGACTTTGTTTAAGCAAGACGAGAATGGTTCTAAAATATGGGTCAAGTTGGGCGGGTTGGGCTATAACCCATTGTTTAGCCCATCTTAGCCCAATTACACTTTGGGCTGGGTTGGACAATGGCTCGTTTATTGACCTAACCCATCTTGACCAACCCAAATTCAGCCCGACCTGCCCATTTGCCACTCCTAGCTTGAACCCTATCAAAGATCTTTATTTTATATACCCCTTCCCGTTTGACCAAAAAGTGTAAATCTTGGGTTAATCAATTATTTTTATATAATGAGGGGTTAAGCCTAGTTAATGATAATATCCTTATATTTATAACTAGTTAGCACAAATAATATAAAATAGTATTGGTGGGGGATTAAATGCAGTGTGCATTTAATATTCCAAGCGGTTTTAGTAATGATAGAAGAATAACAAGTAGTAAATAACAATAAATCGCATGATGTAAATAAAGAGAATGATTCACCGAATATTGAATGAGGTGGATGATTCTTCTTTCTGATAGTGATGAATGACAGACAAATCCTAGAATATTGAACTATTCTCGGATCTGATGGAAAAGTATTGAATAATGGATGGTAGAATCTTATTAAAAAGGCAATGTTTGTATCTTTTCTAGGGAGAGAGTCTTCTTCTCAAAAAGTGTTCTTATCAAATGAATATTACATACCTCCTCCCCTTATCTCTTTTCCTATTTATATGGGACATATCTCCAGTCAACCCTAAAAGTACAAGTACGGAGAATATTCAATGGAATATTCTCTCAAATATCCTATTCAGAAAAACTAGCTGTTAGTACTCTGTTCTTGAT